GCCAAAAACTCGTTTTAGAAATTGTTCATACGTAGAGCATGCTCTGGCGTATCGAATCAACTGAGAGATATAAACCCCGTATGCAGGTGATAAGGGTATATTGCTACATAAGTAAGGGAAGTTGACGATTGAAAAGTTAAAGTCATCACGTTTATCATAAAGCTTTGTTGTTAGATTACCACTAACGTCTTTTTCTAATAAAATATCCAAATATGAAACAGATGCGTCAGACTCTTTTATCTCAAGCTCACCTGGATATATCATGTCGACATAAGAATGGAAATAACCATTGTTAATTGACAATAAGTCGTCGATATACCTAAATGTCAAGTTGAAGGCCACAGCAAGTGTTTTCTTCTTTTCACGTACAAGATTTTGAACAAATTCTGCTTCATATGAATACAAAAAAGGTCTGTTAATAACGGGGCGCAATTGGTACCCATGGGAATTCCAATAGATTGTTGAAAGACCTGGTCTCCAAAAACCACATAGATATTGTCAATCAGAAACTCGGGCATCTTTTTAATATCAACTTCAGAGTACTTGTGTGTACAATCAGATTGTTTTTTAACAAAGTAATTTTGCAAATGACCAATGACAAGGTAAGTAAATTTACGAGTTCCATTTTTATTGAAAAAGCAGCTGTCAACCATGTCAGATAGATTCTGAGAAACGTTTTCAAAATAGAGTCCTTTTTCATAAACTTCCCGGTTTAACAACTATAACGTAAGTATATATTTATGTATGCCCTGGCAGAGATCCAAATTTTCAAAAATATTAATAAAAATTGAACAGTAAATTTTCAAAATCATTGTTTTAATCACCATTTCACTATGTTATTCCCTTTTTTCTTCCATCGTCACCCGTCGTGCACCATGAATAAACTTTTCTTCTTGAACCATCCCCTCAATTTCAACCAAACTTGCTACGAGCATGCTTGGTGATTCAAAGTTCAAGGTCATACAACTTTCGAAGGGAAAGGGATGTAAGATAATGAAGAAAGGATTGGGTCATTTCAATTCTAACAAAAACGAGTCAGAAATGACAAAAACCCTCTTTATCTTTAATTGATGAGTTAAGAAGATGGATGAATAAGTCGAAAAAATGTCTATGGTTCGACAAACGAAAAATTGAATAGCAGTTTTAGCACAATTTGATATTTCAGATATCATTAGTGTACACTTTTTGTAAAATCTCCAAAATTTGCAACAATATCATAAGTGAAAATTATTAGACTATGAAATAGCTTGCATGCACACACCAAAGTTGTCAAAAATGATCCCGGCATTAGAATTGAAAGTCACGGGTGTTTTGAATGACACCCATGTGTCAACGTTGGCGTTGTCACGGTAAAGAACCCTCACTGCTCAATGGCCCTGAGTGCCGAGTATAGGTCTAAATTTTAGGCCTTTCATAGTACCTTATATGCTGAAAACTTTCGAATGGGACGTAAAACAAGTCTGTTATTCAAGGGTCATTACATGCACACACACACTCACACACACACACTCACACACACACACACACACCCTCACAAGAAATTCATTTTTTTTCTTTAACAAATAATTTTGGCCGAGAGAATTTTTCTGCAGAAAAGTTTTGTTTGTCATAATTTCATATCTTTCAATAATTAGAATTTTGCTCTAGATACTTTGTTCACAAATTGAATTTGAAGCTATAGGCCTTTTGCAAACTTTGTTCAAACCATATATATCTCCTTTTGCAGAGATTAAAGCCACCAAACCCATGTCTAAAATAGAAACGCATAGGAAGTATTTGTTAAATATTAGTTTTTTTTCTGAAAATGTAAACATTGAATCTAAAATTAATCTCAATTCTTTTCTTGGAAACCACATTTCCCGAACTCCACGCTCAACAACTTTTTGCAATGCTTCATTTAAAGCTAACAATTATTTAACGTATGGTTAAGCTACTAATTCAGATTATATTATTTGTAGGATTCTTATTTAATATATTATTCACCTTAAGATCAGTGTTTGGTTTTGATTTGATTGATTGATTGTTTGTTTGTTGTTTAACGTCCCTTTCGAGAATTTTTCACTCTTATGGAGACGCCACCAGTTGCCGGTGGAGGGCTACAAATTTTGACCTATACTCGGCACTCAAGGCCATTGAGGAGTGAGGGATCTTTTTCGTGCCATCACCTACTGCGACACGGGACCTCAGTTTATACGGTCTCTTCCGAAGGACCGGTCTCCATGTCTCGCAGTGGGTTTCGAACCCGCGACGTAAGGATCAACTCCTTACTCCGCGACTCTAGAGCAGACGCTCTAACCACTGCGCCACTCGGGCGACGGTTTTAATTTGAAGAATGTGGAAAAATTATTATATAAATAAATTATCTATTTATGTAAATCTGAGTACAACAGATTGTTTCGTCTTACACCAATATGTTTTCCTTTATTAAGATCTATGTACTATTGTTATAAGCCGTTTGAATTTCACGTTAAACATTGTGTTGAATATGCTTCAGACACGAGCCACATCTTGTCGAAGTAATCTGGCTGTACAATATAGCAAGGGACTAACGATTCATACAATGTACATGTATACTCAAATATAAATAAACAATCACCGATGATATCCATCTACCTTTTTTTCTTCTTCATTTTCACAATATGAAATTATACAAGTACAACTAACTTTCGTCTTCTATAAAAAAAAATTAACTCTATTTTTCAGGTCACTTTATGGGATTAGTTAAATATATCAAATTCAAGCGTATCATTGTGTTCCGCACAAAATAGTTTCCTGTGCGAATAAGTGAGAGGTTAAGTGATTGTCTAATCTTCCTTGTTAAACTTCGCATTCGACGCTTATAAAAATTGTTAAAAAATTTAAAATAAAAAAAATTAAGATCCGTAATTTTATTTTTAAAACGAGGAAACATATTTTTGTAGGTTAATGTTTGCAGGTGGTTGTTTTATTTAGATATTTTTAAATTTTATTTTCTCCCCCCCCCCCCCAATTCTGATTTAAACATAGGTTTTAATAGAAACGTCCTGAATGCTTTGCTTCATTTTCTGTTAATAATAAGCAGGGTAGGACAAACTGAAAGATAATCATCTGTTCTTATAAACTTTTAGTTCGTAAACAAAGAAACAGGGTTTGGTTGTGGGTTTTTTTTTTGGGGGGGGGGGGGGGTTAAGATTATACACATTGATAAGTTATATATTGTTTTAGTTTGTTTGTTGTTTAACGTCCCTCTCGATAATTTTTCACTCCTATGGAGTGTCGGTGGAGAGCTGCAAATTTTGACCTTTACTCGCCACTAAGGGCCATTGAGCATTGAGAGATCTTTTTCGTGCCAGCACCTACTGCGACACGGGACCTCGGTTTATACGGTCTCATCCGAGCGGGCGACTAGTATTGTATTGTTATGCATATTGATAAGTAATACATGTATATTGATGCATAGTGTATTTATTCAAAAGTCAGTTTTAAGAGCAGAACGTGTATATAAGAATTATTGAAAAAATATATACTTGCACAAAAAATATATACTTGCATATATAAAATATTCTGTTCTATATGTAATACTGTGGAATTAATCGGATTCTTTCCTAGTTTATAGGTCGCCTGCGGAATTTCTAGAAACTAGTCTTAAACCTAATAATATCGAAAAAAAAAAAAAGGGAGAACGAGAATGGTAAAAGCAGAAATAACAAGCATTCTGAAAGTATTGCATTAGCAATACTAGTCCCCTACCGGCAAGTGTAATCTGGTTCCCGTTAAGAATTGAAAATGCCATAATTCCGTCAAAAATCAATGAAGCGGGGCGAAATGCAAACTTGATCTATAACTAATCAAGGTAAAGTCACATACCAAAAATCAGCTCAATATCTGAAAGCATTTAGAAGAAAATTGCAAAAACCCCTAAAAATTGAAAAGGCCGTAATTCCGTCAAAAATCAATGAAGCGGAACGAAATGCAAACTTGATCTGTAACTCATCAAGATACACCCACAAATCAGCTCAATATCTGCAAGCGTTTAGGAAAAAAGTGTGGAAAACCAAGAGGGACAGACAGACGGACGGACGGAGAGACTCAGAGGAAACCTACATGTATAGTCCCCTCCGGTTTCACCGGTAGGGGACTAAAAATGGTGTTGGAATAAAAAAAAATTCCCCGAATATAAATTAATTTTTTTAAATTGTATTTTTGAGTAAGAATATTTATTTCTCTTCCCGGAAATGTGACAGAGAGATCACTCAAAAGCACTTGCTCATAAATTGAGTTAGTCTAAGAATATTTATTTCTCCTCTCGGAAATGTGACAGAGAGATCACTCAAAAGCACTTGCTCATAAATTGTCTATAGCCTATTTTCTAACGTACGAGTTTTTCCTCATTGTCACCGAAAGTTCAATCCCTCCAATTTGTGAACTTTTACCTCCATTCTATATACATTAAGAATTTTTACATCAGTAAGAATTTATCTTATTTTTCCTTATAAGTTTTCAGGATCAGATTTCGGATCCTCAGAACAGAGTATCTATTTCGATTATGTTTAAGTTGCCATGGGTCATTTCTACAATTTATATCGCAATGCAGAGGTAAACGAATCTTCCGAACTGCATTATTAAGAAATTGGTAAATACGAGTATGGTATAAATTCTATCTTCAAAATGACAAAAAAGATTCACGTATACATAGACATCATGGATGCTTATTCCTCCGTGGCACCTGATCGATCCCACCTCTGTTTTCAGAAGTCTGTGTTGGCTCTGCTCACAATTTGTATTGTTAAAAATGGAATATTGGACAAGATCACTGTTCATTATCTTAACACTTCATTTATAATATAGTACTACTACAGTACTACAATATAGTACTACTCCACTAGGGACAAAACTAGAACAAGGCAAAATGGTGATGAAACACGAATGAATTAAGCCGGAAGTCAGAACACAATTTTCCGTGATATACGAGTCGACATATAAAACGCTCATCCCTCCTTGTAAAGATGATTTTGTCGCGCACTGTGGCTGAAATACAATGACGACTGGGCACTACATAATTCCGCTATTTATTTTCATTGGAGCTTTAGACAACGTAAATTTGCAGGCAGTTAATACTAGTCTTGCGTCTCGTAAGTTTTCTTGTCTATATTGATAATATTTTCAATTGCCCTCATTTCAAATATTTCCTTATCTTAATTATCAATTTATCATAATTTGTTAAGGGGGATTCATTTTGCGAAGAGATTTAATATACATCTATCTAGTATGCCTCTTTTTCGCCAAATTTGAAAAAGACTTTAGTTCAAACTATTTCAAAACATTCGATTTTTCACGAAATTCTAACTTATAAATTAGTCACTCTCAGAACGTCAATTTTTTTTTTAGGAATAACAATTATTTTTATTAGGTCTTACAACAGTAAAAAGTATGGGGGGGACCAGCATCTTTAGAAAGGAAAATAAAAAATATACTAGAGCAAACTACTGTACTAAGAAAAAAAGTCCCCCCCCCCCGCGTTTTACGGGTCTGTCTATCATCGTCAAATCAATTTTCATATTATAGTAATAGGTCTTGTGCTTAATTATAATTATGTATATAAAGCCAATTCAACTTTGTGCATCTATATATGTTCTATTGAGGCTATAGGTGTTGTGCTTATTTATTATATAACAGGCAATTCAACTTTATGAACATGTATGGTCCATTTAGGATATTTCCGACTTAGTGGGGAATATTCATGAACTGTATCAAAATGAATGAAACAAAATTAATTCCATGTATGAGAGTCTGTAACGAAGAGGGGGAAAAGCATGGTTTTTTGTTGACTTAAGTCCAATACATATGTTTTCTACATGTTGTCCTTTGCAATGGGATCTCTTAAAAAGGGATTTATAACGGTTACTTGAAGAGAAGAAGACTATTAACTTAGATAGTATTGTAACGACCCTCAGACAAACTGTCAAGTTCTTCTCTGCTTTTTACTTTTAACTTTTCTAAAGTTTGAAAATGTTCGAAGTATAATCTGCTTGATGAACATGACGGCGACAAGACAAATTCATTTAAAGTAATCATTTTATGTTACGAATTACTGCGTTTGGCTAGAGTGAGACAAGATCTTATGAATCAGTGATAATCACTTAATTTGGTAAATATTTCCTCCTTTTAAAATGAAGAACTAGTTTCCGTGAAACCTATTGAAATGTTTTCTCTATTTTGCATTAATGTTCACGTGCTGGCACTATAACAATATAGAAGGGTTAAGATTGAAGCACCTCTTACATACATTATACATGATAACTGATTGTTTCTCGCAAGGAAGCTATGAGGGTTATATGTAGTCCTAATCGAACAGTCAACCATTTTGAGATTTTTCGCCAAAATGGAATGTTAAAAAAATCATTTAAAGAAATTAACAAAACGAAAAGAGGAATATTAGTTTATTACTGAAAGATGGCAGCAAAAATAAAAGGAGAAATAAATCGAGAAACAGCGCGTTTTTTGTGCACAATAAATATACATTTTTTTTCAATGGCACTGTAGCACTCTTGTCGTCCATCCCAATTTTTGCAGACCAGCGAGCTACAGATCTGCAGCTATGAATGTAGCTGTTACAAATAATTCACAAAAATAAACGACTCAATCATGCTGTTGTTACATGTATATATTTCCCAAACTTGAAATTTGTACACATGAATTAGTTGGAAAAAATTCCTACATAGTACAACAGATGCAAGTACCTTCCTCGTTTACCGGTATTTGAAATTTGTCAAATTCAGTTCACCTGTGTTCTATAGTAAAGAAGGATACCAGATATTTGTTTCTATGTAATATTTTAATTTTGATTCGATAGAGCTAAAAATAAGTGTTAGATTTCGACAGAATATCGTGTTTTATTTGAGCACTGATTAGTGGGATCACGGTTCAAACTTGCGAGTTAGATCCATTTTCTACATTACTTCCCCAAGTAATGCGATTAACACAGTAATAATTATGTTAATCGTTAAATATGTTAAATAATAATTAAATAATTTACGTTGATAATAATTTTATTTGCAATTTCAACGTACAGTAAGAGTCAGGAGTACTGCAAAACAATACATGTATATTCGAGAAGTGTTTAAATCAGATGTGGATACTAAAAAACTCCAAGAAACCTTTATAAAATTTGAAATTTACCAAAATCACTAACATCAACGCGTCCCACTTTTCAACACTTTATACAACCATTCCCCACGACAAATTAAAGTCCAATCTTGTTGGCATCATAGACAGCTGCTTTTTTCAATAAAAATGAAACTTGTAAATTTACTTACCTTGTCACTGGTCATTTGCAAAATTTTTCTGTTAAAACATTCAGTTCACACAAGAACTTCGAAGTTGATACTAAAAAGATGCTAACTGACAATATCTACGCAGTTTTTGGATCAAGTCTTTCAACAATCTGTTGGAATTTCCATGGATGCCAATGGGGCCCCCTTATTAGCACTTATTGTTGTATTCATATGAATCAGAATTTATCAAAAATCTTCTACTAGAAGAAAATACTTGCTGTGGCCTTCAACTCGATAATTAGATCTATCGACGACGTATTATCAAAGAACAATAGTTACTCACATTCATATGTCGACTCTATATAACCCAGTGAACTTGAAATAAAAGAGTCTGACACATCTGTTTCATATTTGGATATTTTATTAGAAAAAGACGTTAATGGTAATGGTAATCTAACAACAAAACTTTAAGATAAACGTGATGACTTCAACTTATCTCTCGTCAACTTCCCTTATTTATGTAGCAATATACCCTCATCACCTGTATATGGAGTGAATGTCTCCTAGTTGATTCGATACGCAAGAGTATGCTCTACCTACGAACATTTCGAAAACGAGACAAGCTATTGATAAACAAGTAGATGAAACAAGGATATCAATGGTCTTGTTTAAAGTCAACGAGACTGTTGGTGTCCTCGTTTAAAGTCACCTTGACCTTATGCACCACTGGGAGCAAAGAGGATAGGTTTAAGTCAACATTTGGAAAATGGCCTCGTCGGCAAATACAATCTATCATTTAATCAAATTCTGACTGACGAGTTTCATACTAATTGTTAGGCCAATATTTACACACTGAATTGTCTACGGATTTTTTCCGTTTGCCCCATCATGACAAGGAGCATACTGCGATTGTGAACGATCGACAGGGTATGCCCACTCGTCCATAGCACCTGATCCCACCCTGATGATTTAGACGTCCGTGTTTGCTCTGATCCCGATTTGTTTCAATTGACTTTTGAGCTTGATTACAGTTCGTTATCTCCATATTTCAGATATATCGCATTACTGGTATTGTGATTTTTGGTCAATTGTATCTCAAATGTTCTTAATTAATCTCTAATCAGGTATAGAAGTTTAAAAAAAATGTCGAAAATATCGAAAGTAAAAAAAAAAACACGATACATTGATATATATTATCATTTTCTATTTGCCATTGGGATCCTATTCAAAGCCTATTTACATGTATATGCTCAAATTCTAAACTAGTTCATGTATGTTGAAATGAATTTGAAATTTGAATTTCAGTCTCTTTGGATGAGTTGGTGAGTGGATTTCGTTTCCAGCAATTGCAACTTTCAACAACAATGATGAACGCTAGTATTCATGCGAGACTTCCCGAGAAATTAGCTTCAGCAGAGGCTCAAGAGGCGGATCAAAGGGAAGCAAAAGGTCTTAATTATCAGAAACGAATAATAATTTTAAGCGTCTTTATCCTGATAATGGATGTCTGATGAATAGAAAGATTTTTTTTCATATTTTGTCCGAGAAATTAGATTTTTTTATCGATATTATTCTGATTCATAAATTAAGATTTTCACTTGCAATTAATATTGATTTTTAAAACCTTATTCTTCTAGCATTCAGAGCCTTTCATGAAGCGCAGACTCCATTTATTGCTACAACGTCACGGTACAACTTAGGATACATAGGTCGTGGCTATGATTTATTTAAGGGGAATCCCCTCAGTGATGACGGAGTGGTGGATCAAGGATTTCGCCTCCCAATAATGGAATTACCCTATACCCACAAGTTTACTGCGGACGGAGAATATCGGATCCCCGACAATGTTGATGTCATTGCAGAATCAAGGTAATTGATTGATTGCCTTATCCACTTACATGTGGTATGTATTTGATTTGAATTTTTTATTTGAATTGCTTTAATATAAATTGGAATAGAACCCTCTACAAATAAGTAACAGAAAAAGAAAAGAAACATTTAGGATAAACTTATTGAGAACGCTGATGAAAGGATAGTAATATGATATAAAATTATAAAGTAAGAACTGTATTACAGTCAAACCGTGTTATCTCAAACTCGGTGGGACCCTGAAAAAATTACGAGCTACTGAGGTTAAATGAATAAAGAAAAATTAGTTGGGACATTCACCAAACTTCGACAAAACCAATGTATTCAAAATATTCTGTTTTAATAGAGGCTTTAATATTAGATTTTGCATAAAGTGAGAGAAAACAAAGAATAATGAAAAAAATCAATTTTTGAAAGAATTAAAGGAATTTTGCTTGAGTATGTCTAAAAAAAAAATTATCTGGATTTTGTATTCAAGATATCGAGGTTCGAGATTCCGAATTCAATTGTATTTAATTTACATAAAAATCGATGTTTAAAAGACACCAACGGTTCTTTTTTTGTCCTTTTACAGTGCCAAGTTTGGATCCTCTCTCTATTCTCTGCAGTCCGAGTCTGACTACAAAAGCATGTTGAGTGTGGATGCCTCGGTATATTTTATATTTGATTTTATCTACTTTTCTTTTTGTTCTTAAATAGCATGGGTCATATTAATTTTATTCTTTTCTTGCTCTCTCTCTCTCTCTCTCTCTCTCTCTCTCTCTCTCTCTGGACGGGATGGTATGATTTTGTATGAGAACTATATTTAACGATGGCCGATATGAGCCGTCAAATTACAAATAAGAGTAACTCTATTATGTACGCAGAATTAATTGACTTTAAAATTAGCAGTAATACCTGTATCATTTTGTACATGTACATCTTTGTCAATGACAAAACGCTTGTACTTGTAATGTACAAATCTTGAGACAAAATACGTTTGAAACTACTTAACATTCCTCAGATTTATTGGGGAGATTATCTGTAAACTTAGAAAGGGTTTAAAACAAAAACACGTGTGTGTGTGTGTGTGTGTGTTTTTTTTTTTGGGGGGGGGGGTGTTAAATAAATGCTTATTTTTAATGAAATTAAAAAGAGCAAGACTGTGTGTACTTTCACGTACGTCGTATGAGATCACGACTCTCGGATTTATTCCATCAAAGAATATTTTGTAAGTGTCTTTATTCAGATTCCTCGTGTTTTTGTTTGATTTAAATCCCTTTCACGACAACGCAATATTGAAATTCATTCTTAGGCCTCGAATACTAGTTAAAGATTCCAGAGAAAATGAAGCTGAATCTTTAAGTAAGAAGTTTATTCATTTCCTCATTCTATTATTTTCCTTGTTCCAATGAAAAAAAAATAAAGGAGAAAAAATATTAATGGAACAAGGGAAAGAGTAAAAACAAACTTCTTACTTACGCAGATCATCGAGCGGCAATCTTTCATCTGAAGGGAAGGGAAATACTAGAGATGCAGCTTCATTATAACAAGTATTTTGGGACCCACGAATGAATTTTAATATTGCGTTGTCGATAAGGAAATTAAAATCAAACCAAAACACGAGGAATCTGAATAAAGACACTGACAAAATATTCTTTTATGGAAAAATTTGAATGTTGAGGTCTCATACGACGTATGTGAAAGTAAAAATAATCTCGCTGCGTTTTATGATTATTAAAAATAAGGAATACAGCATTTATTTAACAACAACAAAAAGAGGGAGGAGAAAAGAAGAAAAGAGAAGAAAACCAGACACATGTATTTTTGTTTAAAACCCTTTCTAAGTTTACAGGTAATCTCCCCAATAAATCTGAGGAATGTTAAGTAGTTTCAAATGTATTTTGTCTCAAGATTTGTACATGTACAAATTCATATTACAAGTACAAGCATTTTGTCATTGACAAAGATGTACATGTACAAAATGATATAGGTATTACTGCTAAAGTCAATTAATTCTGCGTACATAATAGAGTTACTCTTACTTGTAATTTGACGGCTCCTATCGGCCATCGTAATATTTGATAGCCCTGTAAAAATTTTACAAGAGCAGAATTAATTGCCAAGTTGCGAATATTTCATTTCAATTTTTAGCTGAAATTAAAATATTTTAAAGAAATATTACATCTTGACAAGTAACCCCTTCTTATTAGACATAGATCTATTCACATAATTTGTTAAATGAAAACTTTCTTTTTGTAGAACTAAAATACAAGCATCAAAATATATTACAAAAAAGTCAATAATCATAGTTCATTTACCGAGGAAGAAGCAGGATGTAACATGAGTCAAAAAAAAATCTTTTTGTTAAACTTAAGCTAGCTTCAAACTGCGAAATAAGAATAAATTATAAATCTCCAAAAAAAATTTACTTGAGAAATATTTGGCGGGAAATGAATGGATTACAATATTTTGTATTTTGAATTCAAGTTTAATAAATGAATATATTCTTTTTCTTATCATGAAAAAAATATTTAAGAAAACTTAACTTTTTTGAAAGGTAAATGCTGCAGGAGGAGGTTGGGGAGTTAGTGCCAGCTTCAGTGCCAGTGCATCTTATCAAAAAAATACACGGGAAATTCAAAAAGGGGAGACAACTACCTTAAGCATCGTGAGTCGTGCTGTGGTATATAGAGCTAGGATGTCCGAGACATCAAAAGTATCGAAGGTAAAATATCTTAAGTCTTTTGGAAGGTTGTGAATGTTAAGCTATGAACAAGATATCTATATAATAACGGAACTGCAAAATTAGTTAATGCTCCTCTCCACCAAACAAAAAAGGAAGAAAATGTATTTATATCTTTTAGAAAGTTAGCTTTTAGTAGACTGTTATCTAAATGCAAAATACATACTTGAATTAGTTGCTTTACTCTTTCAATATCTCTTGCTCAAATTAAAGATTTTTTTTTTCAAAAAATACTGAAGACACTTTTGGCAGACATTTCCATAAGCCTTAGGATGTCTTGATGATTAAAGACATTTATGATATATGTAATACATATCGAATCATGATCGGGCTTCACTTTTGCTAGGTAAATGAATACTTTGAGAAAGCTGTCATGCTACTCCCTATGGAGAACTGTGAGGACGAATCGCTACAGGAAATGTACCTTAATTTTATACGCGAGTTTGGAACCCATTATACAACCCAGGTAGTCATGGGAGCTAAAGCGGTTCAACAGCTCACCTTTGCCAAATCCGACCTCTCAAAACTGGAATCAGAAGGAATAGGTGTTAAGGTGAATATGGTTTTCCTAAAGAAGAACACGACTTTAATAAATAAAGAAAATAATACATTCTATACTACGGTATGCTTTATATTTAATTATTATATGATTGAATAAATCCTATCTCTGTGATTGGCCGTATCCAAATTTGTAGAAAAAATACTAAGTTACTTTCACTTATATGTGACCTTCCAGGTGAACATAGGGAATTATTTTCTCAACATTGGATTAACAAGCAAATTCAAAGAATTATAGTCCCCCGCTTTTGGTGCGTTAGTGGATGGGATGCCTAAATTTATGGCATATTGTAACTATCCTGTAGCTGTCTTGTTTGTGTGTCCTGTCTTGTTTGTCCATTATACAAAAAAAGACATAATTATTAAATTAATAACAGTTATGGCTAAGATTCTAGCTTCTCAAAACTACATCAAACTTCAAGATCAAGGTTATGAGGTCAAATATCATAATACAATCCACAAGGTCTTGTCACAAGTAATGCACATGTAAAAAAAAATATCAAAAACCAGAGTATACAATCGGAAAGGTCTTGAAACAGGTAATGCACATGTCAAATGTAAATGCCATATCTTCTCTCAGTCAAAAGTTATTAGCAATGTTAATTTTTTTTTAAAAGTAGGTCAAACTTCAAGGTCAAGGTCATGAGATCAAAAATCATAGTACATTTGGAAATACTTGTCACAGATAATGCACGTCGTGTCCAATATGAATGCCCTATCTTCGCTCCTTCAAAAGTTGGCAACACTGATGAAATGTTTGATAGATAGGTCAAACTTGAAGGTCAAGGTCACTGGGTCAAATATCAAAGCACATTCGGAAACATTTTGACACAGGTAATGCACTTGTCAAATATGAAAGTCCTGTCTTATGTCATTCAAAAGTAATCACCAAAGTTATTTTTTTTAAGTAGGTCAAAAAGAAGATCAAGGTCAATAGATCAAAAATCATAGCATGCTCAGAAACACCTTCTCACTGGTTATGCACATGTCAAATGTGAAAGCCTTACTTATTCTCAATCAAAAGTTATAAGCAAAGATATTACATTTCGAAAAGTATGTTAAACTTCAAGGTCACGGGATCAAGGGGTCAAAAACGATAGTAAGTTTGGAAAGGTCATGTCACAGGTGATGCACTTGTCAAATATGAAAGCCCTTTCTCTTCTCAATAAAAATTTATCAGCAAAGATAACATTTTTGAAAAGTTGGTCAAAGTCACGGGGTCAAAAATCATAGTATATTTGGAAAGGTCTTGTCACGGGTTATATACATATGTAATATGAAAGCCCTATCTTTTCTCATTCAAAAGTTATTACCAATTTAAAGTACTGTTTAATTTTTTGAAAAAGTAAGTCAAACTTCAAAGTCAAGGTCACGGGGTCAAAAATCATAGTATATTTGGAAAGGTCTTTCACAGGTACATGTAATGTACATGTGAAATATGAAAGCCATATCTCTTCTCATTTAAAAGTTATGACCAAGGTTAAAGTTTTTGTGACAGACAGACTTACAGACGGACAGCTAAACAGACGGACTGACAGACTGATAGACAGACGAATGAGATTTAATGTTCCCTTGCTTTCACGAAAGCGGGGAACAAAAATACATCGGAAATTTCCTACAATGTAATTGATACAAACAGTTCTGGAAAGTTATTTAACTTGCATCTGACTTCCACTCAGATGAACATAGCATTCAGGCACATAAAATCAGGGATGTGGTGGGATAGGGTGGGGGTGCTTGGGGCCTGCCCCTCACCATACTTTTTCTGAACATATTTTTTTGCCCCCTGCTTTCGCGAAAGCGAGGAGACATTTAATTTCATTCGTCTGTCTGTCAGTCTGTCTGTCTCAAAAACTTTAACCTTGGTCATAACATTTGAATGAGAAGAGATAAGGCTCTCGTATTTCACATATACATTACCTGTGACAAGATCTTTCCTAATAACCTACGGTTTTTGACCCCGTGACCTTGTACTTGAAGTTTGGCCTACTTTCAAAAAATTTATCTTTGCTTATAACTTTTGAATGAGAAGAGATAAAGCTTTCAAAGTTGACATGCGCATTACCTGCGACAAGACCTTTCGAAATATAATATTTTTCTCGTGACCTTGAACTTGAAGTTTGACCTACTCTTCAACAATTTTAACATTACATTAAATTGGTCATAACATTTGAATGAGAAAAGATAGGGCGTTCATATTTGACATGTAAAACTTGTGACCGTCAAGTTTGATCTTATTTTCATACATTTTATCAGCGTTCCCAACTTTTGAAGGAGCGAAGATAGGCATTTATACTTGACATGTGCATTACCTGTGACAAGTATTTCCAAGTGTACTATGATTTTAACCCCATGACCTTGAAGTTTGACCTACTTTTCAAAAATTTTAACATTGCTGATAATTTTTGATTGAGAAATGATATGGCATTTACATTTAACATGTGCATTACCTGTTTCAAGACCTTTCCGACTGTTTACTCTTTTTGATATTTTTTCACATATGCATTAATTGTGACAAGATCTTTCGGACTGTATTACGATATTTGACCTCATTGACCTCAAGACTTTGATCTTGAATTTGATATAGTTTTGAGAAGCATGGATTGCTTAACGAGTTTGTGTTTTTTAATCATTGGATCATATGATAAAGCAGTTATTGCTTTTTTCAGTCGATACGATGATTTAGCCACCTTCAAAGTGCAATTTTTACCTCGCCCTTCCGGCTCGGTGAATACTGTACTCCTCATGTGTCTAAATCATCGTATTGACCTCATAAACAGCAATAATTGTATAATATTCAGACTTCTTATGTAGTGAAGATAAATATTATATAGACTTTTAAATACAACATATCTTTACATTGTTAACAGGAGCGTTTTTGGTCTACGGTATAAAAAATCACAGTGCTCTGATTTTTTGATTTTAGATGTGACTAAATACATGCATTTTGTACATTAAATATTTACTATATTTTTCCGTTGCTTTTCAACATATTTCTCGGACAGCAACGAATTGTATTACTTTTTCACACCGCAGTATTATTTTAAATTTGGAGCAGTGTATCAGCCCTTAATTTTTAACAAACTCTATAATATAAGGTTGCTGCACAAGCTTCGTTCAGTGGTTTCGGCGCCTCTGGCGGTGGGGGATTTAGTGTCGGGGTCAACTCCAAAAGTGAGTCAAAAGAGCGTGTGCAAAATACCAACAAAGAACAATATGAATACTACATTGGTGGGAATCCCCCAGCCGGGGATTTTTCTTCCGGAAGTACCGAGAGTTTACGAGAATGGGCGAGATCTGCAGACGAGAAACCCGTACCAATTCAGTACAAGATGACCTCCATCGAGACGCTCTTGAAGCCTGGATACTTTAAAGATATTACTTATGGTATATAAATCATAACAAGAATAAAGTGTCTGAGTGTAATAAGCTTTCGTTATGGTTGTTTGATTAGTTTGAATAAGATGAATGATTCTTTTCGCTGTCCATGCTTCGTAATATACTTTTTTGACACTAAAATTGTTTTTTTTTTTTGGAAAATCTTCTAAATAAAAAGATATCTTTATGACAAAATCATGCTTTATATGACCAGTGTGTATTTTCTATTAAAAAAAAAAGATCCAGAAAAATAAAAATGATATAGGGAAAAGTTTTTTAGCTTTAAAAATTAATCGCTTGAAACAAGCTGAATGGAGCTGATTTTGATACAGACCTTCCTGTGCTGATCGTGTGCTTATAAATAGTCATTCAATGTTTACAAATTTACAGAATTCACAGATTTAAAACTAAAAAAAACTTGATTATTCATGAAAGGGGAATGTTATCTTCTATTTAAGGTTTGTTTGAAAGACGTCAGTGTTTACGTAGAGCCCTGTATACTTACTGTAAAGAGACGGTGTCTCCTTCCAAGTGTAACCCCCCTGACGGTACTTCCACGACCATCACGTCACGACGTAAAAGACAAGCCGAGAATATGGAAAGTGACAACGATGGAATAAAGTAAGAAACTCTGTACAATATACATAAGTATGAAATTTCCATAATTTATGTTTTATTATAGCAGCACTTTCATATATTATTACTTATCGAGTTTTCATTTTTGTCATGTGACTATTTAAGGGTTTTAACATAAAAACCTCCTCTAACATTTTAAACAGAAATAAATAAACAATTCGTCTTTCAGAATATGATTGGATGTTTCGTAGATTTTCAATAAGGTATCGAAAGTATAGAAAGGAGATGGGCGAACATAGCGTGCAGAAAGCCTATAGCTTCAGAAATATAAAAATCATATTCAGTTTGTGAATTTAATATTTAGAGTAAAGTTCTCATTATTGAAATTTATGAAATTGTGATAAACAAAACTTTTCTGAGGAAATTTTCTCGGCAAAATTTATTCTTTTATTTAAAAAAATTAATGTGGTATTTGTGGGGTTCGAACCCCCAGCAATAAAAATCCTGATTATCATTTTCTTTCGAGACTAGCACGCTAACCACTAGACTACACAAGTCCTGACGAACAGTGGCATTTAAATCATATTTGTGATATGACCCTTGACTTAATGGACTTCAAGTATTTCTCGAAAAGATGCGAATGTTATGTCATAAAAGTATATTTTTAAGGTATAGTGGGTCATTGCTCCATATTTTTGGTAATCAAAAAATGTATATTTTTATGCAAACTTTGAGGATTAACTTTCAAAAAGGTGGAGCGAAGACCCACTCATATCGAAAAATAGTGTTATAGTATGCGAAAATGACTCTCTTTGCCCGCTTAAGTGTGTGTCTAATACTTCACAGGCAAATAATTTCAATCTTTGGGGGATTTTTGCAAATTGTAGAGATTTTACATAAAATATATTTTAATGTTAGACGAAATATCAAGAAAAATTTTGATATAATTGAAATTTAATTTTTCAATTTCATGTTTGTCACACTATAGGCTTATCGCTCGTCATGTTCACCCATCTCCTTTTCAGCTTTGTGGCCAGTTGAGGGTCGAAAAATGAGAGAGTATTTCAAGCGACAATTACTAGTATAAACATGCGGATATCATTTTTTCATGACAGCATCTTGAAAATAGATTTTTTTGGTTTTTCGAAGTGTCAAAAACTTACTTGCGTGGATTGACTTAAGGATTCCGAAAGTGTCTTCTCGCTGTGAGTAGTCATATGTCAATGGTTTTCTGTAAAATGTCTTTAAAGTCCCTAATTCCTTACAAATCTATCATGTTGTAAATTTTGAATGTAGGGGGAGGGGGTAAATGAAAATATTACATGATCATGTAAATTTTGCATTTACAAGCAACTACTAAATTTAAAAATACAACATGATACATCACAAAAAAAGGAAATTGGTAATAAGAATGGATGTTGTAGGGCTAGTAGGTACAATTTGACGGTTCGCATTCATCTAAGATTATAATTTTCCGTTTACAGACTTTTTCTTAAATTACGTGTACTTATCACCAAGTTTCTTTTTCATATCTCAAAGAAAGAACTGCGAACGATAGTATTGTTCTCCCGCCTACCTCCAAGTTTTCAAAAGTTAACATATTTGAATGATTTTTTTATATTCATATGGATATTTATATGAATTTTCATAAAACATTACTTATTTAGGAAAACAAAGAGAGATAACTCTATAATTTTGGTAGAACCTGTGTTTTTGCACTACAGAAATCAACGGAAAAGGAAAATATTTTTAAAATATCCTTCCCCCAGTGAAAAAAATTCTTTTTTACGAGTAATATGGATTGTTATTTCACAAATTCATGCCAAAGCTTTTTGTGTTTCACGGGGGGGGGGGGATATATGTTTACAGACAAGAAACGACAAAATGCTCATTTTTTCACCAATTTCGAAGGGGTTTACATCTTAAACGTTGTATCTAATCAATTACATATGTTTAATTCTATATGCATGAAACATAAGAAAAGATTTAAAGAATATTTATCTATATTCAAGAATATTTTAAAATTTGCTGATGCTTTCAAGCCTGATTTCAATGGAAAACATCGTCTATTTGATAACGTATGGCGAAAAGCTCTATGGTATAAGCTATGTGCAAACAACATTAATGGAAATACGTACAATGTTATTACGAATATGTATAATCAAATCAAATCGAGAATAGTCTATGATAACAAAGTTACTGATTTTTTTTCACTGTGAAAATGGTGTCAGGCAAGGAGAAAATTTGTCATCTTTTTTATTTTCAATTTATTTAAATGACTTACAGAATTTTTTCCAGCAGAATATGACAATTGGTTTACCTTCTACATCTGTTATGTTTGAACAATATTTGAATGTATATTTGAAATTGTTTGCACTATTTTATGCCGATGACACCGTATTGATAGCTGAATCTGCACTAGGAGTGGGACGATCCACCGGTGCACCGATGCATCACAGTATTCACTTTGACGATCTACAGATCGATTCATCTAATTTAGTATCACGATACCTGACCGCACTTTTTTTTTAATTTCCAAAAATGTCCGGGTTTTAGAATCCGAAATTTTTAGTCCTTTAGTCTGTATCATCAAGACTTTTAAACAAACACAAATAAAGTACAAACGTCTTGCTGATACAGAATTCAAGATATAAGCGTCAAAATGGCGTCAGACACGCCGGATTATATTAAATTAACTAAAGATTTCTGATTAATTTTAATATAATTGACTGTAATTTGAGTCAAGAAACTTGAATTCACAGTTCATTTGTTGAATTAGTTTATTTTCATACACTGTTATGTTCCAAATTAAATGTTCTAAAAAAAAATTTCTAGTTTTATTTGGTTTTAAATGTATCGTGATATGTATCGTATCGCACCTAAGGTATCATGATATGTATCGGATCGGCTAAGTTCAGTATCGTCCCAGCCCTAATCTGCACAACACTTACAAGCAAAAATTAATTGTTTTGAAAAATATTGCAGAAAATGGAATTTGAAGATAAATATTAACAAAACAAAGGTAAATGAAATTAATTATTTGGGTATTTTATTTAGCGCATTGGGTCCATTAAAGGAAGCAAAACAGAAACAAGTTGATAAAGCAAATAAAGCAATATTTGAAATTCTTAAGAAAGGTCGCTTACATAATCTATCAATACGGTGTCAGTTAGACCTGTTTGATAAAATTGTTCAGCCTATATTGCTGTACGGATGTGAAGTATGGGGATTTTCGAACAATGCAATTGTAGACAGAGTACATCTAAAAGTTTGTAAATTACTTCTTAACCTTAAACAATCTACTCCGGACTGTATGGTGTTTGGTGAACTCGGTCGACATCCAATGTCCATTGAAATACAAACGCGTATTATTTCATATTGGTGCAAACTTAAACTTGGAAAGGAAACAAAAATATCAAGCCTACTGTTCAAATTAAGTGATATCGTAAATTAAAAGACGAAGATTGCTTGACTATATAATGTCTTGAATATTTTAAACAACTGTGGACTTTCAAATATTTGGCAAAGTCAGACCTTTAATCCAAATTGGTTGAGATCGAAAGTAAAACTTACTTTACTTGATCAATTTAAATAAAAATGGAATTCGGATGTTCAAAATTTATCAAAGACTCTAAATTACAGAATAAACAAAGAAGAACTAAAATTTGAAAAATACTTGGATATTCTATCCCGAAAAGATGCCATTATTTTTTGCAAATTTCGTACTTGTAATCATTATTTACCGATTGAAAGTGGACACTGGCTAAATGAACCAGGAGAAACTAGATTATGTAAGAAATGTCATTTAAATGAAATAGGAGATGAATTCCATTACATATTAAACTGTACGTCAGTGATACACGAAAGAAATAAATGTTTATCGCAAAACAATTACTGTTTAAAAATACAATTGTGAAGAGATTAATAAATTCAGTTCAGTTCTACCCCCTTATAAAAAGAGCTGGAATGAAGAATAATTAACTATTTCACACTGTTATTAAAATTATTAATCAATTACTATTGAACTCTTCTTTGCATTAATAAAAATTTTACGGCCAAATTGCCATTAGTATTGAATTAAATGGGTGTAAAATGTAGGCGGGAATCGAGAGTTAGCGTGCGTGGTTCTTACATGTTTTCATCATACAGATTATTATTTTTTGCATTGTATGAATTTCTGACCTTGATCTTTGGTTTCTGAAGTCAGATAAAGATTTGATACAAATTTTCAAACTTAAATAGCTGGCTTAAGTCATCATACCCCGGTATATAAATCATCTTACACAATATAGCGTATATATATTTACCATGACTTTAGATAATTTTTCTCAAAATCAATAGGTACTTTTTGGGTCATTTGGAGTTAAATTTCATTCGAATGGTAATTGACCTCAGAGGCATCATACGAAAAAAATTAAGTAATACAGATAAACTGACAGACAGACAGTAGGACAGATATACATATTCCTAAAAGAGGGGGACAAAAATCAATGATCTTGGTTGAAATATTTTGTGGGTATTTAGACTATTTACAAATAGGAAAGTCTGCTACTAATATGGCGAGTGATTCAGTAATGAGGTAGTATTTGTTACAACAATAAAAATAATAAATAATTCTTAATACTTAATTGATTTTAATTATAACATTTACACATTTAATTGATTTACTGGTGTGATTTACGGTACATAATTCTTCACCAATTTGAAGAATAATCATTCCTTGCTGATATAAACGCAATTCAGAGGTCAAGCTTCTGTAAACAGTGAAGCACACTTCTATTGTGACTATGTTCATTAACTAAAATACTATTATAAATACTTATTTCATAAAATAATATACAAAGATAAATGATTTATTATCATATTTTTATTTCGTTTGTAAGAATAACAATATATAGATATACATCTTTGAATCATGCTGTTCAGTGATCACTTTAGTGAATACGTTCATTAAAATGTTTTGAAAATTAAAACTTTTTTTTTTGTCTTTTCCTGTCAAACATTTGACAGCTGCGGGAAATGTAAAAATATGTTGTCTTGTTAAGTTATATTCCAAATTGAAAAAGAGAGAAATGTAGGAAAATTGATTAAAATATACTCACTTTTTAAGTAAACGTTTCCTTTATTCTTCATGAAGCTTAAGATGGAAAGAAATATAATTAAGATAACTGAATCATTATTCAGACATGTTACTGCTTCTCCAAAACATGAATATGGTTGGTTGACTTTCAGGTTTGGTGATTTTGTCACTCTTCGGAACAAAAATTCCCGTAAATACTTGGCGTTGTCCGCTTCCACGGGATACTTAAATGGGACAGTCACGAAACCACTTGTACAAGGTATGGAGGTGTAAGGGGGACATGGCTAAACATCTAGCGTCTACTTTAACTTAATATCTACCTTTTTGCAACTTAAACAAAGTTTTGCGTACTCAGTTGAAATGAAAGTGAGCAAGATGTGACAAGTTTTCGTGGAGTGCTTGAAAATGGAGTCTTGCATAATATAATTAAATTTTAAAAAAAAGATTTATTGATATATCCTGCCCAAAGATACATCTTGCTCAAAAGTAACAGCAGCTATTGGTTAAAGAAAGTGTGAAGAGAGAATTTAGTAATTTGAAATACATGTATTAAGAAACAATGACATGTATATGTATCGAGGTGTACACATTCTTAGATTACATATCATAATTTATACAAGTACGTATCACTATTGCAAAAAATAATATAATACAAGTATGTAAAATATTATAAATGAAATGGAAAAGAAAACTAATTGCTTTACATTATATAAAAAAAAAGTCCCTCTGTGTAATAGAGCATTTAGTTCCTGTTTTCAACAGTTAGCAGTATCACAAACTATGACGGACTCTTTCAAATCAAGTCGGGAGATGATGATTCCACAACACTAGGAACTCCATTAGTGTATGGTCAGAGTTTTAAACTTGTGTCGGTGGAGGTTTGTTCCATTTTTTAAAAAATATTTTGGTTCACAATTCTTGACTAGATGTTGTCTATGGGAAATCACTGCTATGTTTGCAAAAAAAATAGTACAGGATAAGGGTACATGTATATGATGATTAAAATAAATCAGTCTGAATAAGTCCATTTTCTACATTACATCCACAAACAATACATTGTTTGCAAAAAAACAAACAAACAAACAAAATAAACAAACAAACAAAAAGAAAATAACCGTTTACATAAAATAATACATAGTACATGTACAAGCTCTGAATTATCACTATTTTACTAAATCCCCAAAATCAGTTAAAAGTCTGCACACATTTCACAAAGAGTTTAAACGAATAAAAATATTGAAAACATTAAAAGTTAATATGATATGGTCAGTCCGACATATTTGTGGCGAGTTTTGTGAAGAAAAAAAAATGTTTCAAAATGAATCACTGCATGGATTGTCGCAAAATTATGAAATAATCAATTGATATGCATATTTTCAAGGGAGAAAATATGTTTACTGGAAGATTATTCATTGATGATGTGAGCAAAGCTTCAGCAAGTAAACTTAACACTGCCTATGAGGGGAAGGATGGTCGGAAGTAAGTTATATTTTCTTTTATTAATTATGGCTTTCAATTTTCAGACGCATTAAATCATAGAAGCTTAGTAATACCTCGATGAAACTTAAAAATCTCAAAATTAAAAAAAATATATAGATTCTGCGATAGAAATTTAAACTTACATTTTGAAGGTACATAAAAGATTTAATGCCGCTGATGTATGTAAGACTGAAAGTTTGAAAACTATCACAAACGTTTAATTACTCTTCACATGATTTTAATAATCTTTCACTTAAAAGTTTAATTATTCTTTGTATAATTTACTTACTCCTATATCAAAAGTTAGAAAAAACTCTTTACGAAATGATAAAGCGGTTTCATTTCTCATCGCACAAAAACTGTTGTCAACAGATCTTCCAGAAAAATGTCAAATTTAAACTCATCGTAAACATAAATTTAATTCACTATTCTTCTCACCAAAGTTTCGTTACACTTCTCAAAAGTTGAATTACTTTTCTCAGATTTTCAGCTCCAGGGGATATTACTGATTTCTCCATCTTCCTAAGATTGGACAAAGGTAAAACTTGGTTATTTATACATGTACATGTTTGTATCATTTTATCACCATGCTTCCATAAAGTGAATGTTTAGAATAAATAAGTATCATTACGCCTTTTATTTTGATGTATTATGTCTTAGTTGCAGATTTTAAATAACATTATTTTTTTTTCGTCTATCAGATCTAGAAATATAAGTTTAATGCTCACAATATACATGTATTTTTATTATTTTCCCCCTTCTGAATTTTAGATCGGTCCTATTTGATAAGTTTGCAGATACAATGCTCTAAAACTTACAAATCTTCAATACAATATCAAGTGAATCTGGAAGGAACAGAAGGGACTGCTAAGTTTCAAATGGAGAATATTTGTAGAAATAGATCTAGGTATAGTCGACTTTACTGGTATCACGGAGCCTTTGCTGACAAAGATATCGGTCAACTTCAGCGTGTCAGGTTTATGGTGTGTACATTCATACTGTTATTAACTTGCAAACGATACGAGCATTTTTACTACATGCCTTTATAGACGGATAAGTAATAATCCTCCTTTTAGTCGTCCGTGTGTCAATCAATCTGATTAAAATCAGGTCTTTGTTACGCTCCGAAATTCTGATAGTCGCTATACACTTTGTACACGCTCCGAAATTCTGATAGTCGCTGTACACTTTGTACACGCTTTGAAATTCTGATAGTCGCTGTACACTTTGTACAGCGCTGTACACTTTGTACAGCGACTATCAGAATTTCGGAGCGTAACAAAGACCTGATTTTAATCAGATTGTGTGTCAATGTGCGTGACTCAATTTTATTCACAAAACTCTCTCCTTGAACTTCATTGTAATGGTTCACAGATAGTTCAAATATAGTAATTTATGTAAAAACTAGTTTTACAGGTACTGTGAGCACCGAGCTCACTAAATGATACCCCCCACTTCCCATATGATTATAATGGCAAAGTCCTTGTTTTGCCATGGAAGACCCGAAATAAGTGTCAGATCAAAAAGTAAAATAGAAGGTGCACAATGATATTATGTAACAAAGATTCTGTGAAAGTCTCATTAAATTTCATCCAGTGGTATAAGAGGAGTTGCGGATAAGAGATGGGTACCCCAAAGCGTAACAGACGGACGTACGGCTAGAGGTACGGACGGACGGACGTACAGACGGACGGACAACCCGATCACTATATACCCTTCCACTTTTCAAGCGGGGGTATAATAACGAACAGCAATCAATATCATAAATCCAGTGAACGGGGCAAAACCCCAGAAGTGGGATCAGGGACCCGTTTTACAAAAGAACTTACGACTAAGACCAAAAACTTTAGTTGCTAGTAAAATCTTGCAAAATTCGTAATTCTGCTTTAAAATTATATTCATCATAATATCTTCCAAAATTCTCTTTAAAAAGATCAAAAAGATTTCCAAATTAATTTAAAAAAACAGAGTTATTTGCAAAGTTGAATTTATTGTCTTTGTCGTAAGCTCTTTAGTAAAACGGGGCCCAGGTGCCTATGAAGAGTAAACATCCCCTGTCGACCTGACACACCCGTCGACTATGTATTGATCAGTTACAGGGGTAATCCGTACTCATAATGGTATAAAAACTATGACCTTACTATTTGTATGAAAAACGTCAATTAAAATACGATGCAGCGAAGGAGATTGTATTTGTGAACAAGATTATCATAACGACCATAGAATTTGGGACATATTGACATTAAACGAGATTGTTGAAAACCTTGTACCATCAGCTTATTTGTCACTAATCTCTCTCTTTAAAAAATTGATCAAACTCAGAACATGCTCTTGAGTATCGAATCAAGTGGGAGACATAAACATACATAGGTGATCGTAGAATATTACTCTATAAATAGGTAAAGTTTACGATAAAGATGAAGTCATCCCTTTAATTTTTCCATATAGTCATGTTGCTTTATTGCTAAAAAAAATGAGTCGTAGTTGTTAACATGAACAGTCGTTTTATTTCAATCTAAAGGGCGATGGAACTGAACCAATCAAAGGGATTCAGATACGAATTGGACAGAACCGTAAAATTATTAGATTCAAAGTAATCGGCTTAAACTGTATTGGAAACGAATACAAGTTTCCTATGAGTCCAACAGAAAGGAAACCAGTTGGTATGTCTTTTTATCATTCCTGTTAATCCTTTTCAGAATTTTGAACTATATTTGCATTTTTCTTTAATCCGCTAAGGCGTGCAACACTAACGGATTAATTTACCTGGTGCATGCCTGTTTTTACGTCTGTTATATACCTTATACCCCTTTTGCTATAACTTTTGAGCTTTAAGAGGTAGGAATTTGATATTTTACCCATGTATTGCTTAGTATTATGGCTTTTTACAAAATAAAAGGATACTGATCTCGTGATCTTGAACTTCTTTTTCCTCCTCCCTTACCCGGCCGACGTCCTGAGGGAGATTGTGCCCAATATGCTTAATCTGTGGTATGCAATGGTGATAGTTTTTGAGCCCTTGGATCATTATTTTCAAAAAATCTAACTATACCAAATGATTAATTTTCACCTACCACACATTTCTGACAAGGAAAAAGTTTCTAGAATATGCAGTTATTAATTTAGGGTGGGGCTTATCCCCCTCGATCCGGTCCTTACTATTAAGAAAGTCCTGATAAAATTTCTGCTCTTAAACTCCTACTTACCAAATTTCTATGGGTTTTTATTTCATTTGCTTCTAGGACTCCGGAAATACTAAGCACTAGTCTTATTACCAATAAATTACATGTATTATTGCCTTTCTTAATCTGTAGCGAATAATGTCATGTGTGTTTGCTACGATATCTACACATATCTCTTTGATTGTGTCAAGAATAACAAAGACATTTTTAGCCATTTTCCTGTTACCATTGTGCGACTCTCTCTCTCTCTCTCTCTCTCTCTCTCTCTCAGAAATTAGTGCCATAACAATAGTGTATTAAAAAAATATATTTACACATGTACTTTCAACATCGATTTAACATAATAAAAATTGCATAAAAATATGAATGTTCTTTCTTTCAGAAATTGACATCTATCCAGCACAGTTCTCATTCCATAGCAAGACGCACCCGGCGGGGAGTATGGTCAGGCGACGGGATACGGTGTTTGTAGAGGTCGTGTCTGCTGTGGACAGAAAGTCCTTCTGGGGTCAACCAGTGTCACACTTACTGTCCAACAAGAACGGAAAGGTCTCCATAGAAGAAAAAGGACCAGTGCCCCACAAAGCCAAAACAGGTCAGATTTATTGAATACCATGTCAAGTATGAATACATACAGATATATATATATATAACGGATGTAAATAAAACTGTGTAAAATAGCTTTATATATAAAACATGTGATAAAAAGGATCTCCCATGGTTTGTGGTTATATACAAATGTATATGATTTTTTTATCCACAACCAAGCATTTTCAGTTGGGTCGTCACTACCAAAAATTCCTTGACAAGCAAACAAAAAAAAATTTTAATGGGTCATCAGATGTTAATGTGTTTTACGGTGTGAATGTTGAGGCGAGCGCAGTTGTCTATACACAGCTTACACTTGTAACGTTGATCTGCCTCTTCAAACTCCAAACTGCACGAGACACAATCAAGACTGTGACGTCACATGACGTCGGAATTTACAGAGACAGCCGAACGTCTGGTTGAACGAGACTATAGTTCTAACTGTCTGTTTGTCAGCAAAAACTGTAACCTTGTCCATATCTTTTGATTGGTTGGAGATATGGCTTTCGTATTTTACATGTGTATTTCTTGTGACAAGACCTTTCTTTGGGTACCATCATTTTGACCTTTTAACCTTGACCTTGGAGTTTGACATAGTTTTGCAAAATTTTACCCAATATTAACCTTGGCCACAACTTTTTAACGGTTGGAGCTAGGGCTTTTATCCTTCGCATATGTAATCCTTGTGATAAGACATTCCTATGGATACCAACAACTTTGACCCTTTGACCTTGACCTGGGGGTTTGACCTACTTTTGGAAAACTTTAACCTTGGTCATAACTTTTGAACAGTTGGTGCTAGGGTTTTCATATTTACCATGTCTATTCCTTGTGACAACACCTTCCTCTGGATACCAACAACTTTGACCCTTTGACCTTGACCTAGGAGTTTGACCTACTTTTGAAAAACTTTAACCTTGGTGATAAGTGATAACTTTTGAATAACTGGTGCTACGGCTTTCATATTTCACATGTGTAGTTTTGTGAGAAGGTCTTTCCTTGCGCATCATTAATTTTGACCATTTGACCTTGATGTTTGACTTACTTTTGAAAAAACTTTAACCTTTTCCATATCTTTTCAATGGTTGCTGCTAGGGCATATTTCATAGGTATATTCTTCGAGACAAGACCTTACTTTGGGTACCAAAATATTTGATCTGCATTTTAGAAAGTTTAACCTTTGCTATAAGTTGCCATACGGGAGCATCAGTGTTTCACAAACACATCTTGTTTTTTTTTAAATATCAAGATAATAAATTATTATGATTTAAGTAATCTGGCAAGTATTAGAGAGTATAGAATAAAGCATAATAAACAGACTCATAGTTCTAAGAACATGTAGTATACCTTAAACTTTGAAAATGCTTGCTTTCCTTAACTTTTTATATTCTGACATAGTGATTTTTTTCTTACAGACTGCAATGGCATCATTTTCCCAGATAATGAGAGGCTCGGTGTCAGGTATAATCTTGAAAACCGCTACTTCGTGTCTTTTGGCGTCGATGTCATGATAACCACAGTTGCAATCAGGACCAAAAAGAGTTTTCAAGCAGATCAGTTTTACGTGGAATATATTGATAGAAATAGTCAAACTTTTCAAAAGTTACAAGACATTATAAGAAGCCCTAACACAGGAAATAGCAATAGTATGGTCATAAGATTTCCAAAAATGTACCTTTCAGCAATCCAAGTGTACGTGAACGGAGTGGTCGACTTCCCAGAAAATGTTAATAGCTTTTTGATTAGAGGTTGTCCTGGTGCTCTTGTAGAGGAGGCGCCTCAGGACACAACTGCGGAAGAATGGGACCTGAGGCTTAGTGAAAACCAGGTTCAGACCTATCCATTTTTACGGGTTATCACAACACAGTACAACGTGTCTAATTTTGATAGGGTTTTCCAAGAACTTGAAAAGCCTTTCTCCGTTCAAAATTACAGAAAGGAGATAATCCTAGAACCAAACCAGAGGGGATGCATGGTGGACCAGGACTTTGTCCAAAATTATCTGATGACCACCGACGAAATTGAAGGGCTGAAGTTTCAAAATACTCGGGTATACTCGTCAATGACAAGCGTGACTATCACGACTGATGTAATGGCCATGAATAAGATTCTGTACGAACAGAACATGCCAGCATTAGGTAGTCTGCTTCGTATGGCGGTACAGAGGTACCCCTGTAATTCCAGGGAAACAACAGTCTTCGCTTACCGTCAGTCTTCTGAAGAGGGAGCAGGCATGTCGACTACTGCTATTGCAGTGATAACCGTTTTAGCTATTTTGGTTGTAGCGGCGATAGCTTTGATGGTTATCTTTTTTGTGATAAGGCGTAATCGTGAAAAGACAGGTACAAATGCTTTATTTAGCAATATTTCTTTTACTGAGTTATGTTCCTCTGTCATGAAGCTTGATTTCTCGAAGTAAATACTATTTTTAGTTGAATCTACATATTTTTTCAGTTGAAAGACCTTGATTTCTCGGAGTAAATTACTATTTTTATTTGAACCTACATATTTTTCAGTTGAGAGACCTGATAGACATCCGATGATGGACAAAAATATCTATGTTGATGAGGGAGGAAATGAGGATAACATTTACACAAACAGGTCATTCGAGGATCCGAGGCTCCATCCGGAAGCCTCTCCTGCTATTCCTACACGACAGAGGCGGATGACATAAGTCTGACATAAGACTTATAATAGTATATAACCTCTCCCAAAACACATACACACACTCTTTAAAATATGGTGCCACTAACACTTTAAATGTACTTAAGGTTATGTTTGTTTTGATGTATTTAAAGTACAGTTGATATTTTTTTAATTGGCTCTTACATTTTACAAATATATGATAAAAAAATACATGTAACATTGCAAAAAGAAATTATATATACAATATTACTGATCAATATTGAACTACGTATATTTGTCTTATGAATGAGTATGTTTTAGGGTTAGTATATACAGTTTTGCTTTAAAATCAGTTTTCCAAATTTTCTGATAATACCTGCCAATCATTATAAAAAATCTTCTAGTTTTCTAATACTACGTATACAATATATAGATTTTTTAATATATATATTTTTTCCGTAACATTTTTCTAAAGACCATGAAATCTAAATTACATTCATTATTTTCTTGTGCATTTCTAATAGTATGAACATAGTATTTTGCTAGCAATATACAGTAATTAAGGGGCTTGTTATATTTACTTGTACAAATTCTAAATATCACATTCTGACATGAAAGATCTGGGATAAATTATAAATTTAAACTATCCCACCAGTTCAAAAAAGTAGTCAAAATACTTTTGTGCTTTCGCAAAAATTAAACCTGTTTTCTATTGTGTCCATTTATTTTACACGTTTTACAAAATGGTTATTTATACCCATATTGAATAACAATTTTCCATGTGTTATAAGTCTATCAATCATTTATTTGAGATCCCTGGATACTTTCTTTCGAAACTTCAGTAAAATATTTTTGAAATATATAATGTCATTGTATAAAGATGCTAATTAAGCGTTGTGAATTTGTCCCTTGTATACTTATATAAGTCCGACACAAGCACTGAAGCACTTTTCTATTTCCATACGCATTATAATTATTATGGACTTCTTTTGTGTTTCTCAAAACTGTTATTTATGCTCATTTGTAATGAATTGAATGACATTTTTGACTGGTTAAAACACTTCTTTCTACACTTGAAAGATTTCATTTTTTACTGTTATTACCTGTGTCAAACATGAAAGCTTTTCTGGTTAGAATTTGTTTGGGATCGAATATGCACACCTGTATGTAGAGTTCTTCACACCTGTGTTTAGGTTTGAAGTCGCCGGTGCTGCGCAGACGGCAATTATGTTAGTTTCGATATTTTATTTACAGAGATATTTAATTAAAATTTCTAAATAGTATAAAAATGTTGATTATGGTTCATGCCAGTTTTTTTTTTTTTTTAACTTAAAATATTAATGAAACAAACAATATTGAAAATGTTTGCGTTTTTTTTCTGCGACATTCCTCGTTTTTATAAAACATTGACCAGAACAGATTTTCTCTGTACAATCTGCCTTGTGCTTCACCTAAAGAATGACCTTGGATGAAGGTTGTGCTGAGATTTCTGTAAATTCTTTTTTTTCAGCTGCATGCAAGTTATTTAAAAAACCATTAACTAGATAGAATTTAAATAAAATTTGGAAAGCAAACTTTTCTTTCTTTCTACTTATAACAACTTTTATCTCATTGTCGCAAAACACCGACCAAAATGTACGATCTTCTCCCATATCCTGGATGTAGCTACATGTATGTACGGACTTAAGACCATGGCTTGAGACGATGTGTTTATCTAGACAAATAAAAAATACTGAATGTAAAAAGTTTTATTCACTTCCAGTCCTTCAAGCCCTGTTCTTTTCAATTTTTTATGCGGGGCTCTTTGAGATGTTTACTATAACCTCAATGAAAAGAAAGTTTTCCTAGTTCGATAGGAGTTTTACTAAACTTAAAATAGATAAATAAATTATATATTAATAAAAAAAAAAAATCCCAAAAATTGATTTTATAATGTAGAAAAAAATCAAAGATTAAATGGTTTCCAAGTAATTTAAAATTTCATATGCCCGAATTGTAATACTTTATGTTGCAAAGTCGGCAATCTTTTCTTAAAATTTGAGTGGCTATGAAAAGAGCCTTTTGAGGAGTTAGTCAGTGAAGACTGTATGTCGCATCACTGGAATATGACGTCGTCATTTTCTGGAGGCTGGTCATTTTCCATTATCGCCTCGTTTCTGACTTGCTGCATCTCCTGGGCTTTCAGGGTGGCGAACTCGTAATAGACATTGCGCAGCCCTTCAATCACCGCCAATTTAAGTCGCAGTGTGTACCGGAAGGAACGCCGACCGGACGCATGCGCCGTGCGATATCGTCTGCTAGTGGAAGAGAGGCGCTCGTTCAGCATGACTATCTGGAGGCAGGCCCTCTGGAACAACCTCTCAGAGTGTTCTAACTTATCTGCTAACTGGACAACTTTAGTGGAAGACATTCGTCGTGTGGTATGATTTCAGAATAATGGCGAATCTACTTATGTTCGGGTTTAAATACTAGGAGTTTGTCGGTGCCCTTTGAAAGAGGCTTCGTCGGACAGGTGTTTTGAAATGCAGTGCACTCGTTTTGAAGTGGCGACCTTATGACGCAAGGTATCGGCGTGACGCGGCGGATCAAAGATTTTCATTTTCAACTGGGTCAACTTAGATAGATACACAAATTTTTTTGAAGAGTTTAAAGATTAGGAAAAAGATAATTCTTGGTGAATTCTTGTAAGATTCCCATTTATCTTTTACTCAGATAAAAGATTTATTATACTTGTGAAGATTTAGAGGATAAAGTATAAACAACAGAGAAGGTTTGATTAATCTCGAATTAATTCAGCATAATATATTTCATTTACTTCATCTGATAAAACATTAAAATATCTAGGAATTTAAAAAAAATAGAATTCCGTGATTCCAATTATTCTGAAAAATGATGAGTTTCTTTATTTTGTACCTTTTTCCATTCTCAAAGTTGTTCGTTTTAATATTCAAATAGTCTCAAATTCTTCCATAGAGAAAAATACTTGATGAACAAATACATTTTCTTCTTGGCAAAAATTATGGTAACTCTGATTATACAAAACTACACGATCTAGAAAAAAAAGGGGGGGGGAGGAAAAACAATCAAATTTATTGATTAAACACTCTTAGCTTAAAACTCTAGCTTATAGCATATAAACTGTTTTAACTTGCACAGAACGTTATGTACAGTGAATAAAAGAATTCATTAAAATTTAAAGCTTCTTTGAAAGTAATTTTTTCATAGTGCCTGACTGCGACATGCATGTAGTCTATGTAAACTCTTTTACCCCCCCCCCCTTTTGCAGAAAGAGAGAAGAGCAATACATGCAGCCATTATTTTAAATGTACAAGTTATAGGATTATACGTAAGATATGTCATTATTATTGGGTTTTTTTTCCATTTATCTAATATTTTTTAATACATTGTTTATTAAGAACCTCAAATTTTTGAGTTTTTACATTGGTAAAATATTTCTTTTCAATAAATTTTCTTAAAAATGTAAATAAAACTGGACACCCGATTACATAGTGAAATTCTTCACCTCAAAGGTTCTATCACATATAGGACATGGCTTAATTTTTTTTCTGTACTAATCCATCTTCCAGCTTCGACTGTAATTTGGGGTTACAACCGAGTTCTAAATTTTATTTTAAATTTTCAAATCTGAACATGTAGCATGGATAGCAAAGAAGTGATTATTTTATCATTTGCCGGAAATAACGAGATACTGAGCGAATATATGACGAATAAGGATTGTAATGTGGCAGTTTTATAAGTTGTACCAAGGATTCGCAATAACCAAATGGGCAACAAGTTTATGAAAGAAGAAATGTAGATTGAATATTGCATATTAAATCTTTGACTAAAGCGTCCAAAGAATTGTGGGTAATTCGTCAATATTGCATAAACATAATCCAGGATTTGAAGTTGGGGTGGGAGGAGAGGGGAGCAACCGGATTAGGCAGGAGATTTAGGACCCCTGCAAGCTCCTGGATTCTAGAGATTTTGTAGGGTACAAATGAAGTCTTCAAAGTAGACAATTATATTTTTCATTCTTTTCACACTCAAGTCAGAAACTTTTTGTCCAATAAAAATTATCAGTCTATCATATTTGGATGTAACCATATCCACGAGCTGTACATATCAACTTCGGTTCGAATTTCCTTTTTTAAACGAGTGTCGATCCTTGATGTTAAAAGAAAAAAAATGGAGAGAAAAAAGGGGGCATACCCCAAGTGTCTGTGTTTTGTATAGTCGTTCTAGATCTTGAGGAGGGGATTTAAAAAAAAAAAAATCCACATTTTACAATTTTATTGTTTATCTCCCCATTAAAAGGGGACAGGGCCTTATATTTAAATAAGTTTCAAATTCTTTTGCATAACGATTAAGGGGGCAAATTTGGTTGAAATTTGCCGGATGGTTCTGAAGAACTGTACACACAGGTATGAAGAACTGTACACACAGTAAAATTGTAAGGGTATCGTGCGTCTTTTATTAAAAATTCTAAGAATTTGTTTGAGAGCAGAAAATCTACACTACGTTTGGTTTTCAGTTAATAACTAAGGTATCCTATTTGCACATACTAGAGTCATCGAAGAATCGTGAAATTAATTCTTTGATAGACAGTTTCTCAACCCTAATTATGATTCCAACTTCTCGATTAAACGACATCTTCACATATGTACGTCCTCCTAACTCATTGTTCATACTCCCTCTATCAAATCATATAAAATGTTACTTTTACATTTCTGACTTTCTAAAAGAAACGTTTTTTATGAGTAAAATACAAACAATTATAGCATAGCTTGCAGGGCAAAATTGGACGAAAGAAAGTCATTTCAAACTTGACAAATTTATAAAGGAATAATTGTCATATATGTCATTTAGAGTTATTTCTCTTAACAGAGTATGAATGAACCTTAAAATCAATTTGTCGTCATTTAGTTGGTCTACCAAGCGCTTATTTATATAACAGTATCATTTTCAAGTTAAAGTAATGAAAACATCATCGATGTATAACAAATGGATAATTTTGGTTAATACTTTAAGAAGTTTGCGCTTTTCTGGGACTACAATGTACCCTCTTAGATCAAGGTTAGATCAAAGTAGACCAAAATAGCAAATCTGGACCAAGGAGAGGTATTGTATACTTCAGACAAGAATTTTATAGATCTCTCTCTCTCTCTCTCTCTCTCTCTCTCTCTCTCTCTCTCTCTCTCTTTTACCTTGGCCCTGTCCATCAAAATTGATCAAGGTCAACTGTATTAAAGGTGTGTTTCCATTTGGCGTTAACTATGAAATACAGATAGATAATTTTAAAAAGTTTTGTTTTGTTTTGTTTTGAACATATTTTATTGAATTAATCAAAAGGATTGGAAACAAGTTCTTGCAAC